ATATGATTCAAATATCTGGAAAGTCAAAAAACAAACCAAATTCCAAGTGAGTAGACAGAATGAATCATAGGTTAAAACAGAAGTGGGCACCTGTTATACATGTGCTGTCCTCGTCTTAACAAACACACTTTTGCTTCAAGAAGAGCTGAGCTGAAAGTCTAAAAAACTACAGGCCACTGGAAAAAAAATAGAAAGAAAAAGCAAAACCGATAACTCTTTAGACTAACCTACAATAGAATGGGGAAACCCAAATAAACATGAGCACAGTTGACTGTGTCTATCTGTTCCTTGGGCCTTTTCTTGGGCTCTTTACCTGTTTCTTTTGTCCTATTTTTATTTGTTTGTTTTGTTTTATCTTATTATATTATATTTTAGTTTATCGTTATCCCTTAGAAGTCTGTATGTTTTCTAATGAGAGAAAGAAAGGGGATAGATCCAGATAGGAGGGGAGTTAGAGATGAACTGGGAGTAGAGGGAGGGAAAACAGTAATCAGAATACATTACGTGAAAAAAATCTATTTTCAATAAAAGAAACAGAGCAGAGTTGAAAAGGAGACATTACAACCAACACTACAGATACTCCAGTGGCGCAATCAGTTAGTGCGCTGTGCTTATACAACCAGCACTGCAGAAATAATAAAGAAGATAAAAGGGAACTACCATAAACTAAGAAACAATACTATTTTTTTAAAAAAACTGGAAAATCTAGAACAAATGGAGAAATTCTTAAATGGCTACAACCTAGCAATATTAACTAAAAGAAATAGAAAAACTACAATGGTCAACTATGTGTAATGGAGTTGAAGTAATTAAAAATCTCTCATCTAGCCAGCGGAGGTGGTGCACACCTTTGAGCCCAGCACTCGGGTGGAGGCAGAGACAGGCGGATCTCTATGAGTTTGAGGCCACCCTGTCTACAGAGCAAGTTCTAGGACAGCCAAGGCTATACAGAGAAAAAAACAGCAAACAAAAACCAAAATAAATAAATAAATAAATATATATATATATAAATAAAATAACCTTTTTGTGGGCAAAAAATGGAGATGGCAGAGCAGGGGCAGTAGGGACATGGAGAATCTCCTAATGTTTCAGTGACTTGTCACTGCTATAAGGCCTGACAAAGCCAAATTGCTTTTGGCTAATAGTCTGCCCATCATGGTGGGGAAGTTTTTGAGCCAGGAGCTTGGGACAGTTGGATGCTGACGTCCCGGGAGGCAGGAAGACCACTGCCCAGTTGGCTTCGTTAGTCCCAGCCTCCATTAAGCAGTGCTGCCCACAATTGCAGTGGGTTTTCCGCCTCAGGTTACCTAACCTAGAAACGCCCACACAGACTCCGCCTAGAGGTTTGTTTCCATGGCGGTCCTCAAGCCCATCTATCAAGGTTAGTCACCACAGCTCCTGCCCCCAGGAATCTAAAGAAAACACTTGACCTGCTGCTGTCCAGGAAAGAGGGTGTGAGTCTGAAAGCAATGCAGGGCGTTCGGAAAGAGCCCTCTGAAAGAGACAGCACACAGAAATAGGATCCCACTGAACACAGCCACAGGGAAGGGAAGAATCGTTCATCCCGGGGCGGGACTTGAACGCAAGCTGGAAAAAGGAAGGCTCCAGAGGTGAATACAGCAGAAACACAATTTTGAAAGCAGAGCCACAAACTTCATGAAGCAGATGGTGGGAACCACCGTTGTCTGCCGGTCTCCATCACTCGTCTTAAGAGTTGTATTGGAGCAAAGACGGAGCAGACCCTGTGACTGACTAAATAAAGCGGTTCTGCAGGAGGCGCAGCCAAGAGACCTGGAAAACCACAGAAACACGTGAACACCCCACTGGAGCCTAAAGATAGCTCAAGCTCTGGGGATATCAGCACACCCAGCCCGAAAAGTAAATACGAAGACCGGGCTAGCCTCATAGAGAACCTACACCCTGAAACTCATGTAGGCGAAGCTGACTGTCAGCATAGAAAGAAACTGATGCAATTCCCTTGGAGCAACACTCCAGTTGAGGACTAGACAACTGCTGGAGGAGGGCTGACATATCCCCATCGACTTCTGGGCAGAAATTCAATGGTACAGGAGAAGGTTTTTTTTTTTTTTGACCCCCTTTGAGACTGCACACACACACGAGGAATCTGATCTAACAGGTTCTCTCCCATTAGCGTTGGCTCTGGAACACCTCTCAAGGCAGAGACAGACCCAGTGCCCATCCCAGAAAGAACCTCCTTTATTTTGCTCTTGCAAAACCACATGTTTTAAAGCTTTTGTATTGCTTAAGTTTCAATTGTTCTGTTTCTGTGCCTATTCTATTGTGTCCTCTCTATTATTTCTTACCTAAAACCCATATAGTTTCCCTCTCATACCTACGTGGTATTCTCTTATGCATTAATCCCATGAATTCAAGGAGAAAGACCACCAACCCAAATCATGACCAAATTGATTACAGCAAGCTTTATTTATGTACACAGACTGTCTCCCGCTAAGGTGGGGTTCAAGAGATCAGCACTGATGTGGGGAAGATAAGGTTTTCACAGCTCAGGAGTGGGGGGCTTCAAATGAGGGGGTCTGGCAGGCAAATAAGCGAGGGGGGGTCACAGAAGCAGAACATAAGCATAACAAGTTGGTCATAACAACCTTCTGAAACAAAGGCGTGGTTGCAAGGTGATCCTAGCAAGAGCAGTGGAAGCTATAAGGGCGAGATAGCAATAATGAAAGCATGATGATCGCTTCTCGGCCTTTTGGCTAAGATCAAGTGTGAAAGCATGATGAATACAGTCACTTCTCATTGGTGAGTCAAGAAAGGGGAAAAAAGAGTTAGGGCTAAGAGAACACAAGGAAGTAAGCATTAAGGGTGAGGATGGGGTTTTCAAAGAATGTCCAGTTCACACATACATGTCATCTGTGTTTAACATAAACACACTACATATACACATATCTGCAGTGAATATGGCCCACGACCTTTAGAGGGTATCTGAAATCATGGGCAGACCAAACCCTGTACATGCATGTAAACATGTCCTTAAATGCACACACACACACACACACACACACACACACACACACACGTATGTATATATACACATCTTATGTATTAAACACAGTAAGGACTAAATTGAATCATTCCAACACTGTAATACAATAAAATGACATGTACCACTACTCTTAATCTTTCAGTACATTATTGAGTAAAATAAGGATCACTTGGTCACAAACTCTGTAATACTGTGACAGTCTGATAATCAAGAAGGCCACTAATTAGCTATTAGGCAGGAAGCACATACAGTGTGGACACACAGTATAAAACAAAAGTCACTTCCCAGGGTAGACGAACAAGGCAGCATACGATTTCCTCAACAGACTGAAAATAGCACACAACTTACAATTCTGCTTTCTGATTTTTTTTCCTTTGCTGTATTCAGGCTGTAGTTATCCATAGGTAGTGGAAACTATAGGAATCAACATTGAGGGTGAGGTAGTACTCCTGTAGTCAAAATAATAACTATGCACATGTCAGCATTCCACAGGGAAGCCTAAATGACATTCCCTGCTACCAAGAGGGACCAGTTACTCTCCTGTCTCGTAAAAGATGTATCTCCAGCCCTCAGTAGTGTCAGCACTGGAAGCAGCATCCATAATCAGAGGATCCCTGTGTACCTGGAGTTTGAGCGTGTGTCCTGTGAACACAGGTGCCTCCTGAGGAACACTCTGCTGCTTTGTCCTGGCTTCACATTCTTCATGCTTCCTGGCTTGTTTTCTTCTGAAAAATCACTCAAGTGTTCTATATAAAAACTTCTAGTAAGCCAAAAAACAAATGGTATAAAGGGAGTCTGAAGTTGGGGGAGGATTCCAGCTATTTTAAGACACACTTTCCCCAACAGAACCCTCAATGTCTGTCTTAAGTTAAGGAGATGGCAGAAGGGAAGTGGAGAGAGGAGACAGCAATTGACGACCACATCATCAGCTTATCTCCTGGGGCTGCAATGTAATGGTTATTAGTCTTAGCATCTTTGTTGTTTGCTTGCTTGCTTTACTCTTGCTAGGCTCGCTAGCTTTACCATATTATCTAATTTGTTTACTAAGACAGATGCCACCGTGAAGTTTAAACTGTTTGCTACTTCAGTTTCCACTAAATAAGCCAGTTCTCTAACTCCATTTTCCAAGGAAGAAAATACCACAATTAGGGCTAAACTGTTCTCCACTATGGATAACCTTGGTGGTAGGTGGCATGGTGAAGTTTTCGGTGGGCAGTAGAGTTCCGTCTTTGTCAGGTAAGGTCACCTGATTACAGTACTTCATCACACACACCCCCTCTTGCTATCTCATTTGGGGGGTTCAGATGGCTGACCCAGGGGTACTCACGGGAGCCAAGTTTGGCCAGTTGATGTCTCAACACTAGACTGTGACTCCTGGGGAGAACACCTGCCCAAATGATGACAGTGAGCTGGTCCATGCGGTTGGCCACTGTGACAAGTCTCTCTCATCTGTGACTGCCTGGACTCCAGAGCCTCTCTGTTTCCAGATGCCCCTTCCATTTGCATTCGAAGAATCTCCTTTGATTCTTATCACTAGCTTCTTTTTAAAATTATCTTGAGTGTATTTCTTACCAAACAAGAGCCTGAGGTCTACCACTGTGATCCCTGAGAAAGGGGGTGGCATTTTTTTTTTTTTTTAGCAAACGTTCCAGAATGTGTAACTCTAGAGAGTTGTGTTATGCTAAGAATGCTCTGCCACAGAAGCCTAACCCGACCTCTGCCCTCTGATTCGGGTAGCCTGCCTTTATCACTAATTTCACTTCATTTATTTCACTCCATGTTGTCAACGGGGGTGGAATTAGGATTCATTTCAAAGTCCTTTTGTTTCTTTACAGCGTAGTTTCTTTTTTTCCTTTAGCATTTTAGTGCCTCAACTCATACATTAGCTGTACATCCAGTGGCAGAAATGTAATGAGACCATAGCCATAGTTTTAAATTTCTCACAAACTACCTGCTTAAAAAAATTAAAAGGAAAATCTTCAACAATGTATTTTATTTAATGCAATGCATTTAAAATAATACTTCTACATACAATCAATATGCAATTAATAATGAAATATTTTACACTTTTACACGCTGCCTTTGAACTCTAATTGGTATTTTACACCTAGAGTGCATCTCAGATCAGCTGTAAATTTCTGTTCTGCCCAATGCTGGTCACAATGGTGAGAGCCCATAATTCCAGGACTTCAGAGACTAAACCAGAGGAGAGAAGTTCAAGGTCAGCCTGAGGTATAAAGTGAACTCATGTGCTACATAGTGAGGCTCTGACCCAAAACCTCTGCGAGAGGGGACAAGGGAGGGAGGGGAAAAGACACACATGGACAGAAAATACTGGCCCACGTATAGACTTCACAAATTTAACAGTTAAAAAGGCAGAGCTAAGGTGCGGAAATACGTCAATGCTTCTAATAAAAGCACTGAGAACAGTTTTTTAATTACATTAACTAAAATTAAGCATAATTAGAATTCACTCGCTTTACTAGCTCTTTCCCAGGTCTGGTGGAGACTTTGTGTGCCCCCCCCTCCCCGACCTTATCTCCCAGCTTGCAGCACTCACCAGGAACATGGGCTGTGCACGAGCCAGGACACTGGAAGTGCATACTGCATCAGCCTCCCTTCTCTTGGGCATCACTGACCGGTGCTGTCTTTACTTCAGTGTCTAACACTGTTGCCTTAGTCCTATACTTTGCTTCACAGGCTTGGTCCAATTTATCACTGTTTAAGGGACGCGGCAAATCCTGCCAGTCTGTCAGTTGCTGAGCATTGAATAAATACAGACAGACTTACCTACGGTACATGTGAGATTTTGAAGAGCCCTGGACATAGACTATTAAAAACATAGTCTCGTCCCTCACACTACCACAGCTCAGCAGGGTTAAGTGTTGACAGAAGTCATGAAAAACATCATAAGAGAAAGTAAGGCGCTATAAAAGCAAAAGTGGGAAGATCAAATTTAGTCTGGGAAATGAAAAAGACTTTCCCAAGACAGAATATTTCAGCCAGAATTTAAAGGAGGAGGAGAATTTGGTATGTGTGTTGTGTAGGGCAGGAAGAATGCCAGGACAAAGAGCCATTGCCAAGCACCTGCGGCAGAATGGGGCCACTGGGGACCGTCCAGCCCAGCACTTAAATTCCCAAAGCCCAAACAAGGGCTCAGAGACCACTATGGTGGTGCAGAGCTGGCACTGGAACCCATGACTCCTACCTCAAGCCTGGCACTCTTCCTGCTGCACAGCCTTGCTCAACAGTGCACAGAACACCAGAACATCTTGTAATGTGATATTTGTCATTTTACAGTCTACGATATGGCGCGCTAAATACCTACTTTTATAATTTATTTTCATTTCAAGATAATTATGGGCAAAATTTTACTCAAGATATATTTTTAATTGCCAGTATTTTAATATATTTACAAAATGCATGCTGTGAAGCATTTGGTTTTTTTGTTTTCTTTCGTTAGAATGCGAGAGAGCATAAAACAGAAAAGGATGAACATTGTAATGGCCTGCCAGTGTTCACTCAGCTTCCTAAGTGGCTGAATCACACCCGGGAGAGTCCTGCTCAGCAGGCTAAAATGCTTGTACTTCCAGACATTTGGGGAGATGCGTACATTGCCCCACTCAAAGCTCAACCGGCATAATAAATGTCAATTACAGCTCCCTGAAGATTTTTCAACTGTGAAACTCAATTGAAAGTATCTATACATAAACTCACTGATGACTTCTCTTCAAAGCCGTTCTAGAAGTGTATTTACATTTACCATGGGTGACCTGGATGCACACAGCAGCCGTGGATTTGCATAGACATTTCCCCAAGTCACCCTAGGTACATATCACTCAGGGATGACTTATATGCTGAAATATGTATTAAGTGTCAGTAGAATCTTTCAATACATATATACAAAGAATCAACTATGTACCAGAACTAGAAATACAATAGTGAATAAGGCAGATAGTCCCGACTCCATCAGTCTGGAAGGGTCTTCTATGATGCTATCAGCCCCTTTCCATTCCTGACTGAGTCTACACATGACTTAACTGTTACATAAAAGACAATAACTCATGAAAGAGGTCTCTGCTAACTTCTAAGCTTTGCAAAAACATTTACATCGTATGTGTAGTTCACTAATTTAGATGTCAAAAGTTTCCATTTCAGCTTAAGTAGCCCAAGCAGCCAGCTGCTTGAAGTCATCATCGTCCTCTGTCCTCCTAGATGACGCTGTAATATAAAAGTGAGAAAAGTCAGTCATCCGTGGCATTTATACTTCCAGCATGAAAAACAGGTAGGGATTACACATAAGATGGGTCTGTTTATCCAAATCATGTGTACATAGGTACCGAAAGCAACAGGCCTGGCTGCTGTTCTCAGAACCTATGTGGACGCAGGCCATGGGGTGGGGAACAGACCTGCCCGAGATCGATGTACGTTGGAGGGCATGGTGGGCTTCCTACTGGGCTGTGCAGGGAGGGAAGACGGCGGCACATTTGGAAGCTTCATGTCTGTCATCTTCTTATTTAATTCCTCCTGCTCCAGTTCTTCAAGTTCTGCCAGAAGCTCATCCTGAACACGGGAGAGAGAAAGAATTAAGGAGTTAATGTATCAGAAGGTAGATTTCCCTAAACAGAACAAAGAGAACATCTGCTACCCGATTGATATGTGGGAACCCAGTGAAACGGAATATTTATTTAAAAACTAAGCTTTTTTTTGTGCAACACTGAGCAATGATTAGAAATGAATATTTTGGGTTGTACAAATTTGTTGTAGTTAATCTTATAATACTTCAGTAAACAGCCATTCAAGTAATTTGTGCTGAATATATAATCTCCTCAGGTTCTGGAAATTTACACCTTGACTGTCATTTTTCTGTTATTTTTTTTCCCTCTCCCTCTCCTGTTGAGAATCTCTGCAATTTTAATTAGAGAAAATAAATATTTCTACTTGAGTTAATAATATTGAAAATAAAACAAGCATAGAAAAACCTATTGCAGAAAAAGTTTTAAAAAATACCATAGTTCCTCTACCAAATAATTAATGTCAACATCAATTGTGTGTGTAGGTGATTTTGTTCACAGTGTTGGGGATGGAACACAGCAGTACATTGCTCATCCTAGGCAAGTGCCCTACCACGGAATTATGTCCCCAGCCCATGTGTTTGTGTTAGTAAAATTCAAAATTAATATAATGCATTTTTCCTTTACAGTGGCCTCAGAAAGTCTGGCTTAATGAAACTATTTTCTACCCAACACCTGTAGAAGGCTCCCATCAGCTTGAGGCCTCAAGGGTGTTGGTCACCTCTTGCCTAATCCGAGATAACTCATATCTACCTAACTTGGGAATCGCTCCAGCATACATCAGCCCCTACAGAAGTGAGAGGTAGTCAAAGCAAAACTTTTTGTTATACTTCAGAGGCTGTCACAATGAGAAATTGTTAGATTATAGAAGGTGGAGATGCTTGATCTGACCTTAGGTGGGATCACATTTATTCACAGCACAGGGGCATCTTGTCACCCAGGTGTGTAAAATGCCTATAGAATGAGATGTGGCTCTCTACAGAGGCAGAAATGACTACCATTGTACATTACATTCCCTCCCGCCATCCACAAGGGAAGCTGAGAAGTATAGTCTTCCAGCAGGATACGATCAGAAAAGATCTATCCTAACTGTGTATCCATCCAACTAGATTCTTTATTTATTCAGCCATCATTCAGCAAATTTATTGAGATCTCATTAGTGGGCAGTGCAAAGGTAAATCAGTACTCCCTACATTCAGGCAGCCTATGCATGACTTTATGCACGTGCACATGTCTCTTGAGTTTGATTGCTTTGTTGATATTGTTTGTTTTGAGACAAGGCCTCTCTATGTATCTCAGGCTGGATTTGAAGTCAATATGTGGCCCAAGGTTGACCGTGAATTCAAAATCCTCAAGATCTTCTACACAGGGCCAGAGTAGTACCAAGGGCTTTGCAAGCCTGATACCTTCCTGTTGCAGCTCTTCCCTCTTATTTTCTACAGCTCAAGAGAGTGGAAGCCATCCTTGCCTTGACAGCTACACAAGAACAGGCCATGACTGATCTCACATACAGGCCAACCCATTATGAGAATGAGTAGTTTGCCTGCTGTCTGTATGCGTACCGCACATGTGGCTGGTGCTCACGGAGGTCAGAAGAGGGCGTCAGGTCCCAAAGAACTGAGAGCATGGATTATTGATCCACACTGTGAATGCTGGAAACAGAACCCAGGTTCTCTGCAAAGGCAACAAGTGCTCTTAACCTGAGCTGTCTCTCCAGTGCTGGTCGATATCATTTTTGAACACTGCTAGCAGCAAACTGTCATTTCCTAAGACTCTCTGGGTCACATCTTCACTTGTTACTCATTGTCATATGACACAGAAACAGGAAGCTGTGCTGTCCTGTCCCCTTGGGAATGTGCCTAGGAATGCCCTCATTCTGGACATGTGTAACTTGAATGGAACCACTGAAATTGTCATTGTGGGCACCACCAATGTGACTCTTTAGTCTTCCTGGACTATGGGACTGATTAATGTGAATGGAATGGGAGTGTAAATAATGACACTCCACAACTACTTGTTTTATAGACTGAGTAATAAGCAGAGGCAGCCTAACTCCTAATTTAGCAGCCACAGAGCACAATCCATCTGCTGCTTACAGGGTGACACCGTCTGCTCAATTTGGCCAGATGTAAGAGCACATGATTCCCTCCTAATGGGACTATTTATACTCTAACCATTAAAAGTCACTAACTTTACATAGCTATGTGTGCTTTCTTTTCCTTAATAGCTAAAATCCTAATTAAGAAGCTGTTTGCCAAACTACAGCCATCTTTCCTTAAAATCAGCTACAACCACCTCATCTCCCTTCTGGAAAGCTACACTTCCAATAAATATCATTTATTTGTTAAGCAGTAGACAAACTGTCTGCTATCTGTGATAGGAAGCTGCCCTGGATAGCAGCCCCAGCACCACATTCTTTAGCATTGCACTCACCTCATCAAAGCCGTCGGCGAACTGAACCCTTTGAGAAAACGCTTCTGAGATTTCTTGGGCGATGTCCTGCTGTTCTGTGATATCTTGCATCAAGTCATCGATTTTGTTCAAATCCCTGGGGAACATGTTGTTGGGGTTTTAGAGTTTCATCTTAAAATAATGAATCTAGACTTAACTCCATATGAAAATAAGTTTCTTTCAGATATACTCCTTAGCTACTTCAGCACCATAACAAAAATCCCTGGCCCAGTGTTCATCAATTAAAAAAATAATAATTGGCGTGTCAAAAAGTTTAGGAACCCTGTACAATCACGTGTCTTTTCACTGTTTGCTTCTTCCTTTGAGAACCACTTGAAGTAAACGAGCCGTGTGATTCACACTGTAGATCAGTTTGGAAGGCACACGTGGTAGGGCATGCGCTCTGTGTGTACTGTTCCTTATTCGCCAGGACCACCGTGACTGAGAGCAAAGCAGTTCTCAGGAACCAATCCTGAAGCGACCACAGAAACTAAACTTTGGGTCAGGAGACTCACTCTCCATAACATGGCAGTTCGGAAATGCTGACCCTTCAGGGGTTTTCCCTTGTAGATAATGGGGGTGGGCACCAAAGACAGCGGGATTTGACCCAGCATGCCCTCATGGAAGCTACCACCTCAGCAAAGACTGCAGACAGGTCCAGGCTCAGGCCAGCTGCTTCACGGTTAGTCTCTGAGGTCTTGTTTTCATAACACTGTTTCTGAACCATTCCTCCAGTTCAGAAACTAGGCCAAGCTGACCAGACGGAAGAGAAGGACGGTGTCCTTCATTAGTCCATCCACAATGAAAGCTGAGCTCTCATCCGTCTTATTCAGTTTCTCAGAGTCTACTACTACAAAACCTGAGAACTTCAATATATTTTCATATGCAATAAAAAGAATTATTTTACCAATTTCCTACTGCCCTTTATGTTCAATTATTATTAGAGTTGTAGTAAATGTATTTATTAAAAGTAGTGCATGACGTGTATGACCAAAGTTTGGGACTGAGACTAAACTTCTCTCCAAAGAGCACTATTGTCTCGTGCTACTAAGGGACCTGGAGACAAGTCTGGCGTTGCAATCCACATCAGCATTCTGCTTACCACAACTATAGGGAGCTGGGAGTTTGATCATGTGCATAATGATCTCTGAAGTGTCAGAATGGCAGAAGGGCAGAATGAGTTCCCAAGGCAAGAAGATGGTCTCGAGGAGATCTTCATAACCCCAACAACTACCTTTGCCTCTTCCCATCCTCTGGAACAGAGTCTATATCCCTCAGCACTTACTGCTTTTATGTGCCCATGGCCAGGAGTCTATTCTCACATCCCTATCAGCAAAGGACCAGGTCCCAGGTCTGCATTCCCCACAGAGAACATAGACCCAATCCGTTACCACATCTCAGAGTATTCACTGATGAGTGCTCACTTTGCAGCAGGAACTGTGCTAGGTATATCTAGCATCTCCCTGAATTTCACAACAAGGAGAGGAAATAAGCAAGAACTTGCAGGTGAGGAAACTGAGTCAGGGAGAGAAAGTCATTTCCCAGGGTATAGTCGACTTTGGGAATGGGATGACAGCCAGAAAATTATAAACCCTGGTCCCAGAGATTAATTCTTTGTGTCAGTGGTTTTCAGATATTATGCAGTCTCAGTTTCGGCCTGAGGAACTTGGGTAAAACAAAAGGTCTGATCTCTGGCTTAGTTCAAGAAGGCTGGGTATCTGCATGCTCTTGAATGGCTTTGTCTAGACAGTTCTCATACACACCAAAGTTTGGCAACCGCTATTCTACAGTTCTAACACCTTCACTTATGCTGCACTGTAGAATCATAGAATTATGGTCCTTACAGGTGCGATTTCATAAAGGAACTGAGAAATATTGAAAGAAACATTCTATACTCTTCTCTTTTGTTCCTACTTTTTTTGTGTGGCTATAAATTCAAAACTACCTCTGAGAGAGCATTCCATTCAAGACGTTGAACAGTCCTACCAAAATCATCACACAATTTCACAAGTTCTTTCCAACATTAAGGACAAGGAGTCTGGGCCACTCACATGTTTTCATGAACTGCTTTCATTGCCTTGGCTGCGAAGCCCATGTTCCGTAAGACCTCAGTGTTGGTGTGTGAATTCTCCAGCGCTTCTCGCTGGAACTCAATGGTGGAAAGGGTGCCGTCAATCTGAGTGAGCTGCTTCTCAAGCCTCTTCTTCCTTTTCAAAGCCTGCAAGGCAGCTAAATAAGGAAGAAAGTGGTGCTCGTATCAGAAGAAACACCTACACTTACTGAAGAGGCTCAGACTATGCCTGGACTCAACTGAAACCTTAACATGACATCACTCCATCTCTACACCAGCTTTTCTCTCGCAAACACCCTGTTACTCTTTCTGCCAAAATCTGGCAACTGTAAGAGGATGGAAAGTCAACTTTCATAGTCACAAAATATGCCACAGAAATATTGATGCTAATGCTGGATGGGGGTGGGGGTAAAATATATTATGAAAAGCTACACACACACACACACACACACACACACACACACACACATACACACATCAACCTTTACAAGAGAAAAGGACCTTAATGGCTGTCAAGTCTAGCTTCTTTTTCTTGAAGGCAAATTTACTAAGACTCAAAGAAATGCAGTGGCTAGCTAAAGACATCTAGTTTACCTAAAGTTCTGAGCTGAACACCTTGATTTGAAGTGGTCCTTAAGGTTGCCTCTAACATGAGTGTCCAACAATCAGTGCGGCTGGAGTCCTGCTCACAGCCAGAGGGCACTCTGCTGAGAGGGTAGGGCTCTGCTTCTGAGAAACAAGGTCTGAATAATCCTCCCCCTGACCTATTCCTGCTTCACTTGGAAGCCACAAAACCAAGAAAGTCCTTTTGACTGTGGCACCCTGTGAGATACCCTCCAAAAGGGCTCCAACCATCCAGTTTGGCACGTCATTTGGGGAACATCCAAGAAAAGCACAGTAGAAGTATCTGTGCTATGTACAATACGTGATACACAGATATATGATAACTAAACAGATTTGGCAAAAGAAGTCAAGTAGTTTGTGGATTCAGAAAGAAGTGGGAACAGAATCACAAAGAATCTCTGAGAAAAAAAAAACTAAGTCTGCGCTTCTGGGTCTATTTTTGTAGTTATTTATCCCAATAATTTTTCATTGCACAGACTCTCACAGAGCTATGACCTCTTGGTGGGTTTTACTAGTGATTGATGTAGCTTCTTTTCCTTCCTCTGGCTGCCTGAGTGGCAGCCACCATCATGAATGACACAGTAACTGCCTAAAGCCGGGACGGGAGAGAAAACAAATGCCTACTTACTGAAATCCTCCACCCTGAGAAAACAACAGAATCAAAGGCAGAAATCCAAGAAAATGATAGAGGATCCTGCACACCCCCACCCATGTCAACTTTGTATCTGAATTCAGAGGTTGAGGCAAGAGGATCACAAATTTGAGGAAAGCCTAGGGAACCATAGCCAGTTTCAAGATAGCCTGGTCTATACAATGAGATCCTGTTGTTCATTAACATATATTACTATTAATAACAATTAGCAGTATTTGTCAGTTAAAGATTATTAACCTTTCTATTCTTTCGATTTTAAAAGACTCTTGTTAATGCTTGTATTAAACTTCGCAGTTTCAGTCATTTACAATAAATTATACTGTTTACTGTCTCTTATTTTCTTATTATTTCTCTCTGTATCCCACATTGTTCTTATTCTTAGATTTAAAACTTTTCTGGAGTGAGTCTTCTTTTGTTCAGGAAAGTATTTTCACACACACACACAGCTAATATATGTAAACATATAAAGGTGGACACAAATAATTCTCTGAATACCTACATCTCTAAAATGTCTTCACTTTATTTACAAGTTAAATGCTAACTTAAAGTTTCACAGACTCTGTCATTAAAACCATTTCAAGAATTTGAATACACTATTCCACTATCTCTGGGCAGTAACATTTCAGAAGTTTGTTTTAGCATGTTTCTAGTATTCTTCTGAAAACAGTTAATTTTTTACTTTTACCTAGAAGTTATGAGAGTTCACCAGTATATAAGTAGGCATTTCCTTTCCTTTTTAAACTAACCGTAGGAATTACATGTTTTCAACAAGTTTCTTTGCAGGAGACTTTCTGGTAGGTTCAAGTGGGAAGGAAAGTTGTGTGAGCTTTTTGAGACAGGGTCATCAAGCTGGTCCTGCATTCTTGATTCTCCTGAGTCTACCTCCCAAGCAGTGATACTAGTACACAGCACCACACCTTCAATGGAGTTTTTAATTTCCAAGAACATTTCCTAGTTTCTCATTGGTAATAGCAGCCTATTATTGCCTAATAGACGCAATGACCTCCTCAACCTTCCTGAATGCTAACAAAAGCTTGATTTTCAACACTTTTTATTCCTGACATTTTCTCTCTCCTGGGCCTATTGCTTGCTTTACTTATGATATTTTTTTTTTTTTTTTTTGGTTTACACAGTTGCCTTCTCTTGAAATTCTTATCTTCTTCTACAGGCTCCTGATTGTAAACTAAAGACTAGAGAATAGCACACTGTGTGTGTGTTGTTCTATGAGGCAGCTTCCAGAGAAGGCCACGGTCCTGTGGACAAAGTCATGTTTCCTTCCAGGGCAGGCATAAGACACAGTTGCTGATTCCTGCCCTTGCTACTAAAGGCTTTCCTGTGGGTTTGGGACATTTTCAGTTTCTTTGCAAACACTTGTGTTCCTCCCTCCCCTCCATATTCCCCTGCCCACCTGCCCAGTTGGAGGTCAAGGTCTATTTAGGGTTTACCTTCTCTCTCCCTCTTCAGATACAACATCCGCTGTTGGAGTCCTTGATAAACAGCATCTACATTTTAATTACAGACTAGGTCTTATTTATGTAACCTATCCTTTAGGGAATATCTAAAACTATTTTTTACAGTTAACTTGTCTAAAGTCTTGTTATAATATCACACTTAAGCAAGACTGAACACATTAATGACCAGGCTGGGTGAGGGACTGTCAGTGCACAAGGAGAATGGCCAGATGACCCCCTCTTTGGTCACTCTGCCCATGGATTCAGAACCAGTGTTTCTCTATGACTCTGGACTGTGGTCATTTACAAAGTCTGTTCCACCCCATCCCACCTGTGCCTGATTACAAACCCTTTGAAAAAAGATAGAGCCCCTATGACCCTATTGCTTCAGCACCTGCTCCAATTGTTGGTAAGTCGTCAAGCAAATACTCAACAAAAACTAATAATTTTCAATATATCTCATTGTGATAGTTTGAATAAGACTGGCCCCATGGGCTCATATATCTGGATGCTTATTCACCACAAAGTAGAACTGTTTGAAAGGATCTCTCTCTCTCTCTCTCTCTCTCTCTCTCTCTCTCTCTCTCTCTCTCTCTCTCTCTCTCTCTGTCTGTCTGTCTCTCTGTCTCTCTCTCTCACTCTCTCTCTGCCTGTGGACCAGAATGTAAAACTCAGCTACTTCTCCAGCACCACGTCTGCCTGTGTGCTCCCCATCATGACAATAACAGACTAAGCCTCTGAAACTGTAAGCCAGCCCAATTAAATGCTTTGTTTCACAAGAGTTGCCGTGGTCATGGTGTCTCTTCACAGCAATAGAGAAGTAACTATAACAGCCAGACTGTGGTTAAGTAACTTACGAGAGTTGTGGCATTTAATCCTCAATGACTAGCAAGAAAAGGCAATATTACTAGTCATTTTACAGGAGGTGCAATGAATGAGTATTCATTGAAAAATGCCATAACTTTCTGAACCTGTATAATGACACAATACCATAGAAAACATATGATTCTCAAGTCTGGCGTGTGAGTCTTCTCTGACTTTACAAATACCTGCTTCTGGGAAAGTCATTCACTCATCTCAAAGACTAGGGATAAGAATCAGTGGTAAATTATGAAACCACCTTATATACTCCTTGTATTTTACTTAGTAACTAAATAACTTGCCATCTATATAACATTCTCAATTAATGAGTTTGTACATCTTATTTGTAGTTACCATTGACAAAATGCCTTTTCTTTCAGGATAACTTCCAGCATGAACACAGTAAGATAAAACATCTCCAATGTTGTTCAGCAATTATCCTGAGAAGCTAAACTCCAAGTGTACAACTCTATGCAGCATCTTGGAAGCAGAGCGCCAGTACATAGGCCCTGTCTTATCAGGATGGTTCAGGGTCTGCGCTTATTGAGAACTCAGAGGCATGTTTTGTCCCAGAAGTGATCTTCATGTTTTAAAGAATTTTTTAAGTTCTCCATTAATAAATATGATATGTATGCTACTTAAAAACATCCATATTATTATTGAAAATCAAGAAACACAATTTGGTATAAGAGAAGTTTTGTAGTCTGTGCTTATGATTTAGTCCTAATTCAAGCACTTAATAACCTGGGTGTGTATTGACCTAGATGTGTGACCTTCTCTAGTCTTGATAATGTTTCACTCCCAGATAATAAGAGCCACACCCAGAGGACAGCAAAACACTGTGTTCTGGAGCTTGTGCTTTCCGACCTTGGACTTTATATAAATTATGTAGTTGAATGAAAAAAGACATCCAGTTTTTAGGCATTAAGCTAAATAAGTATGGAAAATATCCATTGCAGTGTCTAAACATTAAGATTTAGAGTATGATGCTAGCTGGGCAGTGGTGGCACTTGCTTTTTAATCCCAGCACTTGGGAGGCAGAGGCAGGCGGATCTCTGTGAGTTTGAGGTCAGCCTGGTCTACAGAATTGAGTTCCAGGATAGGCTCCAAAGCTACAGAGAAACCCTGTTCATTTTCCTCACTGGTAAACAAAATCCCCAGATGGAGCTACAAGATACAATGCCCAACCAATACATGCATGTTATTTACCAGACACTCTTTTATGTGTATGCATGTCCACGTGCACACATGGGTGAATACACACTTGCCACTGCCTGCACGTGGGAGTCAGAGGGCAGCCTTCAACAGTCATTTCTCATCTCTCACCTTGTTGAGGCAAGGTCTCTCTTTATCCCTGCCACTATGCAGCAGAGTAGTGCAGGCTAGCTGACTCACCTGGTTCTCCTGTCTGTGTTTCACATTCCAACAGAGAAGCAGCCACAGTTGTAAATGCCTAAGCCAACATATTGCTTCTTGCGTTCAAAACACATGGAAGAAATGTGAAAAATTCATCTAGATTTGGCATCTCGACTCTACACTATAATTCCTGATTCTGCAAACCACAAATATA